GCCACACAACAGCCAACTGGCTACCTTCCACTCGAGGCTGAAGCAAGCCAACTGCATGCAAACGGCGAGCAACGGGATGTTCTCGAGGAAATAAGGCACCTGCCTGTAAAAGGATTCAAAATTCAAATAACTGCATCAGCAAACATACAGTTCACCATCGGATTCAGTGATACTAAGGGGAAGACCATTGCCCATCAGCATTCAGTTACTTCTACAAATTCAGTTCCACCTTCGGAAAGATGAACTAACCAGGAAATTACTCGAACGCTGATGAGAACAGTTATGAAGCGTAAGGAAATGATGATTGTAACCCGCGATCGCGTCAATCAAGGAGCGAATACCGACTTCAGCAAAACACCGGACATTAACCGTATGCCATAGACAATATGGACAACGCTCATTACTTTAAAAACATCACACGCGAAAAATTCAGCTGCGTTCCAGGTTGGTCTCCCATCAAAGCATAATTCACTTGCAAATGAATGTAATTCACTAATCGAGTTCTCTTCCAAAACATATGGAAAAACGACGCATCGAGGCAACGGGCGATCAGGACCAGTCTTTAGACATAAAAACCAAATACTCCCTATTTTTGTAACGGGTATACGGCAGAACGCTGCAGATGATATGGTAGAATAGCCTGGTGAGGAAAATCAAACGCAAAACGCTTACCTGCAAACATTGATAAAGTTTGAAAAAAAATGACCGATTTCGTTTAGATTACAAAAATTCACGTCAAACGCCCTGGGCTGAAGCAAAGCAAAGAGATTACTGTCCTTGCCTTACAATGTTAATTCAACCAAACCATCTGCGCAAGCACCTGACGTGTTGAAAAAAAAACATTCGCTGCACCTAAAAACTGTTAATTCAAAGTTCCTATGACATATCTTCAATGTATCGGTGATGATGGTTGTGAGTAATCTTTTGTTTTCGCCGATGTCTAGGTTTCAATGTGCTTCAACTGCTTGATGTCCAGATACCAAGCAGAAGAATGACGAGTCTCCTATCGTGGCAACCCACTCGGACGTGGTTACTGCCGAACCATGTGCACAAAATGAGTTGAGCTACTAATGACCTACCGTTGAGGACTGGTTATGGCAGTTGGACAGGACACATCTTAGCAAGCAGAACTTTATGATGTTCCCTTGTCTCACAGCTAGCAATCACTAGACGAACGTCGTATAGATGGCCACTGGTGATGAAATGTTCGGTGAGTACAGCCTACAGGCGAATCTCCATGATTAAATGGTGTCAAAGAAGTCATAAACAAAAGCTGCCCATATATATATATATATATATATATATATATATACGCGAAATGACGTACTTTGTAAGATAGTAAACCGAACAACAGACCGGCGCGAACGGACGTTGACTCATTTGAGTCGGAGATAGCACGAATTAGACCCTGTGAAAAAAATATTGGAGGAAAGTAAAGGAAGGAAAAGTGGTTGGGTGAGCGAGTAAAAGGAAGCCAAGGGTTTCAAAGGGCCAATGATAAACCGGATGAAACGGCAAGTGGATCGGTGAAAAAATTTCCTAAGTTCGAATCTGTGCATACCTCGAACCACTACATAGCACTCATATTGACCACCTTGCAAGATAGTTAATTTCAAAGGTCATTAAAAACGAACATAACCATGGCAGCACCAGCAAATACTAAATCATCTAAAACTCACAACAACAATAAAACAAGACAAGCACGAACGACGTAAACAAAGAATAATTGAAAATGGGAGCTCAAACTCAGAGTAGGCTGCTAGCAACCACACCAGTAATGGAAGGAACGGTGACCACCTGAGAACGTCATTTCAAACGTCATCATCAAACATCGTCCTGCAACGGTTTTGCAAACAATATATGCGCGTCATCCAGCGCCAACATCCTCAGGCATCCCGAAATCAATCTTCAAGCTTCGACGACCAGTCATCTGACCACCTTCAACGTCCGCACTCTTAAATCAAGCTGCTCTTGCTCCCACACTGGACCCACTTGGCATTGATGTGTGTGTCACAGAAACAAGAATGCAAGATGCAAGCACAGTTGTTGAGCTAACCACCCCAACATTCTAAACTCGTTACCGGCTACGCACCTATGATGATCCAGAGACTGTTGCAAGGGTTGGTATCGTCCTGACTCACCAGGCCATGGGTTCTTTGCTGGACTGGATATGGTTGATAGTCGTCCGTATATGCTTTCTCTGGTAACGTCCGCGGAGGAGTCTCACAAAGGTGAATTCGATCGATGTCTCTTTGTCGTGCCTGCTTACTGACTGTAGCTCTTACACCACCAAAGACAAGCTTTATGATGCTCTGAATGTCCTGTTACGGCAAACTCAGACATCGTTGTGGTTTCGCGAGGTCTGAATGCACAAGTGGATAGATAGGCTTAGAGCATCTGAGATTCAATAAGGTGTTGGACATGGATTGGACGCCGTATGTGCGGACAATTGTGGACGATTGCTTCAGCTGTGTGCTGACCGCAGGCTGTTTTTATGCAGTACTACCGTCCGGAATAGCCGAAGTAACATGGTGTCACATGGTGTACCCCAACGGCCTGCCGGTCACAAACTCGAATTAATCACATCACCATTAATTACGGATCGCTCGGATCAATAACTGACTGCCGCTCGTTTTGAAACAGATTTGTGGATTCCAACCACGTACTCATCCAGAGTCGCTTCTCTTTTCGTTTTCCAGGACCACGTAAGGTGCAGACAAATCGTTTTGCAACTGAGAGACTGGCAGATCCGAATGTAAGACGAACCAAACAGAATCGTCTTCTAGAGTCTCCTACAAATGCTCCACCACCAGATATGAATTCATACTGGGACGAGGTCAGCACTTCGTTGCACAGTGCTGGGAGTTTCGCCTGTACCATGGCGCTACCAGGCTCACTCAAGCACTGGAAATCAGACGGAACAGTAGCACTGCTCAGAGTTCGGAGAAATATCACAGCCGGTCCCGAACATAACATGGGGCAACGAATTCCCAGACGTCAATTAAAACTGAGCGTGATCCTAGTGGACACGGAAACGCAAGGAAATAGCAGAGGCCCAGAAAGCCGGGAATGCCCAAAGCTTATTTCCGTTGATCCGGTCCCTGGAAACCATTTGTGAGCAAAACCATCAAGGATCTGAATGCAGTGACAATGTTGAATAAAGAACTCCTCGACCTCGAACAACAACTATCTTGGCCACCAACTGCCACTCATCTGGAACCCCCAGCTGTTCTCTTAAGCGTCCAGACGACCCCTCACCCGCATTATTCAGTCAGCACCTGTCTGATAGTTTTGCCTATATTTGGGAAAAAGAGACTGTTCCAGACAACTAGAAAGAGTCGGTGACAGTGCCCGTTCCCAAAAACGGGCTTCTAGTGAGTGTGGTAACAATAGAGGGATCAGATTAACCCCACATGTAACGAGACTGCTGGCGTCACTCACCCTTCGTCGCCTTATTGTGGCTCGTGAAACACTGGCTAGAGACCAGCAAGCTGGTTTTCGGCCTGGTAGGGTTTTTCTCTACAACATCTTCACACTCCGTCGGGTGCTATGAAAACGTCAAACGTGTACAAGCATAACAAATTTTAGTACTCCAGGATTGCCAAGGTGCATTCAGATAGGTTAACTGATCTGTTCACATTGACACATTTGCTCATCAAGGAACGTCCCAAAAGTTTGTGAACATAATAAGTTCTTTGTATTCTCACACTTCCGGGCTTGTGAGAGTATACATAGAACTCTCCGTACACAAAGCGGTGTCCGTCAGGGGTGTCTGGGCTCTCCATTCCTGTTTAATTTGGCGATCGATCAAATAATGGGACGAACACTGGAAGGTCTTCAAAATACTAGTGTTTAAACAAACTCTCACAGAAACAACGTTCTCGTGTTCGAAGAGGAGGATAAGGTGCACATGTCTATCGATGAATTAACCAAAGTCATCAAGTCTTGCAGTAAGCACTTTGTACCCACAAATTGTGAAGTCATGCTCATGCTTATACAGTGACTAAATACGCCAACTACAACCTAGAGAGAGAGCCATCCGAAGCTGTAAGCGTTTTGCGTACCGTGGATGTTGCATTAGTTCCGGTTGAAGTGTGACAAATGAGATCACTGCACAAATCTGCAAGGCTTGGGTTGCCTATGCCAATTTGAGACACTTATTGCGTCAAGGCAGTATATCCCTAAATCTCAAGGGGCTTGTATATCATGCTCCAGAAAAGAGTGAAGGTGGACTAGGACGGGACTTATCGCTAGGTTACCACAACCATTCCGAGGTACCTATACCTGCAGACATTCACACAGGCGATCTGGATAGAAACTGACGACAAAAACGCCACTGACAGCGGTTGGCAGCCATATCTTGTAGTGTCTCCAACCAGGCACAGCGAGAATCACGCGGTCCCCATTCTGGAAGGCGAGTTGCACCGACAGCACCCAAGCGTTTCGTGATCTCCTTCA